ATAGCCAAGAGAGGCTCTTACAGTTCATTGTATGCTGCAGGTTTTCCTTGCTTATGACCCACAAAGCACTCATGGCAGGTTAGACACACAGGGCTCAAGCCAGCCACTGTGTGCAGGAACAGCTGACCAGACCTGCAGTTTACCCTGCTTGAAACAAGGTGAGGAACGATCACCAAAATGGACACCAACATAACAAACCCAGCTCTGAACCTGTGCTATGATGGGTGAAAGGGAAGGGACAGGAAGATGGATCTCTCCCCTAATAGCCTTGCCCAGGTACAGGTGATGGATCAACTGGCTGAGCAGTGCACACCTCTCTCCACGAGCAACTTTATAGTCAGAAGACTCAGGCTGATTATGTAGTAAGGTATCAACTCCTGGTATTCCCTACAGGCACACAGAGGCCTATGGGATCCAACTCTGTGCTGTGTGCTGACATCCTCTTTACCTTTTCTGTTGTTAACAGTACCACCGTGGCTCCTCTGAGAGCACACTGGCATACATGAGATCTCCTTATCTAAATTCAGAAACCTGTAAAACTTCACCGAGGCTTCTTCCTAGCAAAGGCACTACAAAATAAAGGCAACCAGAAAGAAATAGTAACAAATGTAAGACTGATTAACCTCATTAAATTTGCAATTGTTCTGTAACTCGTTATTCCAAGGTAGGGAGAAGGCAAGCAGCATGCTGCACGCTTGCTCTTTATTGTAGGTGTGCACATTGTTCCTTCAGCCAAACTATCCTTTAAAGATTATTTTTGATGCATTATGCAAGTGATATATAGTAAATTTTTTATGTATTTTTGGCATTATACTTTTCTAGATGGTTAACACTGCATGTGATAAAGAATGAAGTTCAGAAAGGCAAGGGAAAAAATGAAAAACCTGTAACTAGAGCAGAAGAAAAGCCTAATAAGTCTAAGAGTACTGAGGAGAGTAAATACAGGCAATACAGGAGCAGCATCTCTAAGTGACTACATGAACCATCTTACTCTTCTCCCTTTTAAATCAATGAGTATCTCTCCAATTATCTTAAGTATTACTTCAGGGGAAAAAAAAGGGTGCTGAGAATTTCCAGTCTTTATGAGATGGAATGAGCTTTATCCATGGAGACTGGAAAATAAAAGGAATCTTCTTCAAGTTATACCAAGTTTTAGGTAAGGTAGTAACAAAGGAATTTTTACACAGCTTTTTATTACAGAAAAAGCCCAGAATCTGAAATTTCATAGGAAATTTCACAGCTGTGACTGAGGCATAAAGTACCTCCAAAAGCAATAGGTAAAAAAATGGAAAAAAAGGCAAGGGCCCCCCAGTTTTAAAGGGAGAATGCACATTTTGGTTAAGCAATTAAAGGACCAACACCAGTGACCAAGGTAAAACCAATCAGCATTGCACCACACCCCTGTGTCAGCAGCCCCCTGTGAGCACAGCCTTCACCTCACCTCCTTACCTGTCACAGGCACTCGACACTGAAGACAAATACTCTCATTTCTTGAGCTTGGCATCCTCTTCCACATCCTTGGTCTTTCCTCCCCACTATCTTCTTTAGAAATGTTGCACCTTATTTTCTCCCACAAGGAAGATTTTGGTGCCCATTTTATTTCACAAAAAAATGGAAAAAGGTAAGTCAAAATGGACATAGCTTGAACAGTCAAAATCTGACAGTTAATTTTCTTAATGGACTTGTCTGTTTTACAGGCTAGCGAAACATTTTCCCCAACAACACTAAGGTTTTAAGTTGCACCCTCTCCCTTTGTTTTTTTTTTCAAGTTAGAAGAAAAAGTTTGATGACATTCATGAGTAGACAAGAAAAGAAAATCCCTAACTAGTCTCAGCCAAATTACAGACTTGAGAAAAACATAAAAAAGCAGAACATCTCTGAACTGACCTCATTTTCCCACTATATAAAGTCATATTTTGCTCATGACACTTTTAACCTACCAATTTGTGTTTTATGTAGTTTTAGTTAAAATACCCCTTGATTCTGCATTTTGACTTTTTGCCATTTCTTAAAAAATTATTTTGACAAATTCAAAACGGCTTTAAAAAATATACTAAATCTAACTGAAAGTAAATTGAAGGACAAGTCTTCCTGCTCTCTGTATATGATTAGAGTAAGTGGAGTCAATTCTCTGCTCACATAATAATAGTCTCCTGCTTTTTTACATTCTCTGAGAAAATCAGCCTTATGCTTTCCTCAGAAGTGAAAGATAATTCAAAGCAGTTTAAGAATGGTGAATGAAGATAAGCTATTGTCTTCTTTTAAATTCACAATACCAATTTAATGACAGGGAGGCACTTAAAACTGTTACTGGAGCTTGAAGTGCCCACCCTAGCTCATGTATTTTTGGGGGGTTGACAAGTATTAAGCCCTTTTAGAGTACACCCTGCATTCAAAATTTAAGAACTATGTTACTGGAACCTTAAGTAAACTAGAGAACAGCATGCTCCTAGGTTAATATAATATACCATCAACATCTAGTTAGTACTAGTAGTAATATTAAAAATTGTATTTGATCTTCAATATGTACGTGATCTGACTGTAGAACTCATTTAACATAACACAAAAACACTTTTATGGTCAGTAGAACTGAGGAGATGAACTGTCTGCAGTCTGAAGGCTGCAATATTGCTTATTGCAAGTCAAACGGCTTTAAAAAGCAGGGTCTGTTAATGGTAATTTTAAAGTATTTTAAGCAAAGAGTTAACAGTTTTGTCCCAAAATTTATCTAACTGCTTTAATACTGTGAGGTTTTATTTTGATGAGTTATGTAACACAGTGATCTAAACAGTGGTAGTCTTTTTTTCTCCCTCAAGAAAACATGTTTTAGAATTGAGTATGTGAATAATCAAGCTTTCTTAGACCTTGCTCCAAATAAAATATAGTTACAGCACAGAATTATAGTTCTTACAAATACCACAAACACTTCTGTCAAGATTTATTCCTGCACAAATGGCGAATTTTCTGGCTGCGTCAGCAGCTCATCTCTCTAACACCTAACGCCACCACCGTGAGGAAATCCAGGATCTCGGCCAGGGAGTCCTAGCAAGAGGGATGAAGCCTCTCTTGCTGTATCTATGGACCTGGATATCACAACCACTTTTGAAAGGTACATTTTAAGCATGCAACATCAGACCAGGTTCCTACCCAAACATCTCTGGTTCACAGCAGCTCAGCCCCAGCCAGGTCTGGAAGCTTCCTCTGTGAGCCATCCCCCTGCAGGAAGCCATGGCCAGGCTGTTTCAGTTGTTCTTTGAAGTACAGAGGATTAACAAGTGAACAAAACAGTGAAGAACATCACAAGACCTCCTCTTCTTCAAGTCTTTCAGCCAAAACTGCTATTCAAATCACAGCCTAGAGCTCCAATATTAATTATAGACTAGATACCTGAGTTACTCCTTTGCTGTGCTTCAACTACCATTAGCTGTCACTGCTGAGGAAAGCAAGCCCTGGATCCCTGAGTGTCATTCAGCTCTACAGCAACTGAGAATGGACCATCCCCCAAACTCTTATTTCACTGTGCAACTCCAGGAATACCCTCTTTTTGAATACTACAACTTATTTTGACTTCTTTCTCTTGTAAAAAAAAAAAAAAAAAAACAACTCTGACCTGCTCAGAGCATAAACAATAAAAACAGCTATTTTAAATAGCTCAGTCTGTTAAATATATGATAATATTTCAAAAAGTGAAAAACCAACCAACCACAAAGAAATTGTATATGCAGCAAAGACTCGAGCTCAAGTCCTAATTTCACCCTCTCCCTGTATTCTCAAAAGAGCACAGTATTTTTACTGAGAGAGCACAGCTAGGGTGAAATAAGACAAAGAATTGGAGGTGTTAAGCTGGCATTTCCTGATCAGAATATCTGAGATCAAGTGTTTTATTTTTTAATAAATATTTTGTTTTCACAGGTACTGTTTTAATGCATTTCCATTTATTAATGGTATCATTAACAACTTTTTAACTTGACCAGAATATCTCAAAAGTTATGGGCTGATAAAATATATGCTATTAAACCTATAACATAGTAAGGGAAGTATTACTCTAGATAAATTAAATAAACTTGTACAATTACACGATTTTGCAGTACTCAATGTTTTCAATAATGTGCATATACAGCTATCAAAGAAGCATAACAATCATCAGAATTCTTTTTAGAAAACGTTCTTTCAAATTATGTTTTCATGGATTTAACACACACTGCCGAAATGCGCAAATCATTTTGAAAATGAGATGTGGGTTGGGCGAAAAAGCAACAGTTTAAACATATACCACATGATGCCACTAAGAAGTATTTTTAGATGCGTGGCTTAACAAGGTAGAAACCTTTTTTTTTGCAATATGAATTTATTTTCTATGCAAATGTTTTTGACTTAAAACCTTTTATTACATGAAAGGTTGCATAAATAAATTCTGTTAAATACAGAAAAAAATTTAAAATGAGACACTTTTCTTAGAAAAATGTGACAAGACTTAGGCAAAAGTGATCTATTTCCTTAGGAATGGTTCTATTTTCTGTTATAAAACAGCTCAAATATATTTCTTATGCTTCATACAAGATGAAATATGATTTACACATGAAATGTGTAAGTTCTCATATGTCCAGCAATTGTGTTAATTTCACAAATTAAAAAAGAACTATGTATTTATATGGCTTCAACAACTGCAAATGTTTAACTATCACCTCTCTCTCCTACCAACCATGCCCACATTGTTTCCTATTTCACCCCAGAAGACTTACCGTATTTTTCTTAGCTATTTACTGTTGAGAATTAGAGTCTTAACCAGATAATTTTGATTAATTTCTCATGCAATCAAGATAAAGCTAGTTGGTCCACATTACTTCAGATAGAATAATTTTATATTATAAACTGCTGCAGCAACTGAGGGTTGCTTTTTTATGTTAAACTTTGCTTCCAATAAGCTTGAGCACTTCAAGCCCTGTAGTTCAAAATGTCTAAAAAGACTTGAAACACCTCTTATTTTGCTTGTTTTTTACATACTCGGAAAGATGTTCCTTAAACAATTCCTGTGTAGTGGTAGAGTTGAACTCTATGACTTTAAAATCAAATTCATATTTAAAAAAATAAACCCCAACCTAACCATTTTTCCCCCCTAAGATCCCAAGTGTAACTAGCTCAGGATGTCACAATATTAAAAAACATTGTGAAAAGTAACAGAACAAGTTGACACACTTTCACATGTGACATTTAAAACAGAAACACTGGGGTTTCAATTTAAAAAATCAACTGAAACATTTACTGAATTTTTTTTCATGTTTGTATAGTTGGAAGAATATACACAAATAGAATGCCTGTTTGAAAATTTTTATACAGTTTTCTCATGTAACATTCACACTGTAATCTGAAATTTGTTGTTTATCACCTTGGCCTCAGCATCTGACTTTGAATTAACAGCAAAGTTAAAAAATAATGTTGTTTTGGACAGTAAACTTACAATCACAAATACTTGAAACTAAGTGACAAAACACCCATTTTGCCGATATCTTAATGGTTTTATTCACAAAATAAAGAGCTTTGTCTTTCCCAAGGAAGAACTTAACAGAAAAACTTAATCATACAGTTATAAAAAAGTGGTACAGAAAATCTGAAAAAGTCTGGTAAAATTTACAAATGCAAACTATCACTCTGTACAAAATCTTTTTTTAAAGAAAGTTCAGTAATAGATTTTAAAATACAGTCTTAACAGCTCAGAAATGCACATTTATTTCAAACCGTGTTTGGGCTTCATTTTCGTCTATGTGGGGAATTCTCCCTTTGTCTGTCCTCATACTTTCTGGATTCCCTCTCTTCGTTCCTCCTGGGCTCCCTCTCCTCGTTCCTCCTGGGCTCCCTCTCCTCGTTCCT